GTGAACCACTTAGAGAGGACTGTAAAGCACTATAAAGTGGTATATAAGTCTAAGTGCTATTGCTGTTGCTATACTCAATGTGTTTTGATGAGAAAATTTTGTCCCATTGCTTGTCTTTTGTTTGGTTCTTGAGTCGTAAGCTAGAACTTGTTGGTGTTCGTTGCCTCATGGCTCGCTACCCTTCCCAGCCAAAACAAAGGGTATGGGTTACCATTGTCATCTTTCCAGGATGACATCACATTCCCAAATTCCCCTTTTTGATCAGACTTCTGACAAATACCTTCCCAGGTACATTTAAATGGTTTGGCAAGTTTTCGCATTCACTAACTTCTGCCTCTTCATTCTTCCAATCATCCAGGACAGATTCACATATATTTGAATAAATTGCACAATGTCTCTATAATCATTTCCACTTTTTCCAAATTATACCATCGGCAACTGCAACCTTTTTTCAAAATCTTCATGGTCCTAGGGCTTCCCGTTCATTTTTTTTTCCTTGCACACTTAACACTGACAGAATTCATTTAAATGAAACTCTATCACTAATTGTTCTTCCAATGTTTCCCCATTTCAATCCTATTTCAAATGATTGCATCATTTTTGTTTTAATCATATTCTACTGGATGCTTCTGTCTACCCAATTAAATAACTTTTTAAAAAAAAATCTCCCCAAAATAATCTGCATTTTTTCTCAGTGTTTTTTAATCCTAACCGTTCCTTGGTTTTTGCTTTTTACACCTTTGCCACAGTTTAAAAATTGAGTCATGGCACTGGTCTTCTTTTCTTTTGGGTCTGAAACCTTTAACTGCTTATCCAAGTTGCTTCTTCAGTCTTTGCAACTATTTCTCCTTATACACTTTTGGCAAATATATTTCTCTCATTCTGTTACTTTACAGCAATCGTCCTTTCACATACACTTTGACCCACAGCCTATTTCACATAGATACTGTCTATGCCCCGATGCTCATCATGGCTTTAATCAATCAAGGCTTTCATATAATATTTTAATACAATTCTTTAATATAGAGCAGGTTGCTAGCCAAATATCTTACCCAACCATATACAACATTTTTTGCTAGTGGTAAGAACAGTATCAATCAGGTTTGACCAGTATGCCACAACACAAGTAAAGCCCAAAATACATGCTTGCATTGTTCCTTGTATGACAAACTGTCTCTCTTAGAGCAATGCTTCTCAATCTTGGCAACTTTGGAATTCTGGGATTGAAATCTAAGCTTTCCAAGATTAATGTTGAGAAACGCTAATGCAGAGACTATCTTGCAAACCTGTCTCTCACAATATTGAGGGTGTACAGTGCACTGCCACACAATTCATATGTGTGTGTGCGTGTGTTTGTGTGTGTGTGTATGTGTGTGTGTGTATGTATGTGTGTGTGTCTCTTCATATATACATATATATGTAGAGATAGATAGGTGATAGATAGATAGATAGATAGATAGATAGATAGATAGATAGATAGATACACAGACAGACAGACAAGAGAGATGAGAGATAGATAGAAAGAGAGAGGGAGAGATGATATAGGTATAGATATAGCTAGATATAGAGATAGACATTTAAATAAATATAGACATATAGATAGATATATGATCTATTTATATCTGTCTATAGATATAGACAGATATAAATAGACAGATGATAGATTGATAGACAGACAGACAGATGAAATAGGGATATAGATAGATATTGATATATAAATAGATATAGACATATAGATAGAATAGAGATAGATGGATGGATGGATAGATAGATAGATAGATAGATAGATAGATAGATAGATAGATAGAT